CCAGGTTTCAGACGCTCATCATCCAAGGATCGAGACCGGGCTGGAGAACAGGAAGCGCCCCAAAAGTCACAGACTCCAGCTGTCAGCATACCCTTGGATGCAGAAGAAAAAGCAGCAGCCTGCGTGCAGGTGTCCCATGTGCCTGAGTCAAAGGTAGAGGCCCATATCTCCCTGGGGTCCCCAGAGGAAGGGACCAGTATGAGGCCCCTAGAGAGTCCAACGTATGCAGATGTTGTAAAACGTGATCTCTGTGGAACAGGCTCTAGAATGCTTAGCTCCACTGTTGAGACTTCCCATCCACATCTGCCCGCCCCTGAGTTTGGGACCCATCCACCTAGTGGCTCTGACTCCCTTGAGGTCCGTAGTGTGAGAGTCTCAGAACCCCAGCTACCTCCAGAAGGAACAGGCAAGCAGAAGCATCCTGGATCAGGAGGAGATATTCTTGCTGAGATGGAGGCTAGAACAGGAAGCTTGCCTTCCCAGCCACAAGGCCCTCTGAGGCTGAAGGCCTCCATCACTGATGTGCCATCCCAGGTCTCTGTGGTGAGCACGAGTCAGCTCTGGGAGGATTCTGTATTGACTGTCACATTCCCCAAACTGAAGGTACCCAAGTTCTCCTTCCCTTCTCCCAGCTCTGAGACTGATGTGTTCTTCCCTGTGGTGAGAGAGATAGAGACCAGCATTGGTAGTCCCGTACCCAAGGGTAGCCCTGGGCTCTGGGAAGCCAGCATTCTAAAGACAGGCGTAGGGGACACCAGAATGCTACCAGCTAGCCTTGAGCAATCTTTGGAAGCATCCCCAATTTCTAAGGTCAGAGTGCACATTCAGGGGTCTCGAGGGGAGAGTCAAGAAGTGGCTATTTCCAGCAGGGTGGAAAGAGTGAGGGCGGACCCCTCAGCACCCGGAGCTTTCTGTACTCAGATTGTACGGGAATCAGAGATCCCTGCTTCTGAAGTCCAGACTCCTTCTTACGGATTTTCTTTGCTGAAAGTGAAAATTCCGGAGCCCCCTGTGCAGGCCTGTGTGTATACAGTGGCTCCTGACTTCCAGATGCAGGAGGGCGTGGGTGGAGCTCCCATGCCAGCTGCTGCAGGAGGACACTCCATCCCTGCCGAGGTCCCACCTGACACTAGCGAACCATTTGAGATTATCTCTTCCAGTATTGGCATGCCTCCCGGGCCCCAGCTTGCAGACAGCACCTCTGATGAGGAGCCAGCCGAGATTCTTGAGTTTCCTAAGGACAGCCAGGAGGTTAAGGCCCCTGACATAGATACAAAACAGAAACCAGAAGGTAAAAAGGCCAGCCTGTTGTGGTCCTGGCTTCCAAGTATTGGGTTCTCCTCTGTGGAAGAGACGGCTGTTGATTCCAAAGACACTACCCAAAGCTCTCCTGTTCATGTGCAGCCTACAGCCCGGCCGGACCCTGAACTGCCCAGAAAACAGGAGAAGGCAGGCTGGTTCCGCTTTCCCAAGTTAGGATTCTCCTCTTCACCTACCAAGAAGCCCAGGAGCACTGAAGATGGGGAGGGCCAGGCAGAACACAAGCTCCAGGAGGAAACAATCACCTTTTTTGACGCTCGAGAGAGCTTCTCCCCAGAGGAAGAGGAGGAAACCAAATCAGAGGTGACAAGTGCCAGGCCCGGTTCTGAAGCAATCGTGGCATCCTCTGTAAGAACAGAACTAGTCCTGTTGGAACAGGCTAGAGACACTGGTGACAAATCTATACCCAGGCCTGTGGCCAAATGAGGTCAGAGTCAGTAGGTGAGACAAACAACTAGAACCTGAAACTTAAGGGCTGGGCACTGAAAGCGCCCTACACCCCTAGAACACAGGATCTTGTATAGATCCACAGGCTTGAAACCAAAGCAGAAATGAATAGCACTTACCTGTGACACACACCGCCCTCCTATACGGAACCAAAATACACTACTTTCTTCCAAGCTTTGGAAGCAACAGAGGCTGCAAAATTGTCTCGTTCTGGGATCTCTGCTGGCCTTCATCTGGTAAGGCCCAAGAGGCTGCCCAACACCACGAGAGCATATTATCTCTGAAGTACTCATGTCTGTGTGGGTAAGAGCAGCTTTGCGGGCAACCTCTGCCTTGAGGCTGCTGTTTCCTGGTGAACTCAGCCTGCAGGGCATGGTGTGTCCCATTACCTTCCTGATCACATACTCCATCCTTCCTCAACTCTTTCGCTAATGGCAAGCTTTAGGGCGTGGACACACGGGGTGCGAGGGTGTGTATGCGCGGCAGACAGGTCTGACCAATGGCTGTCTGCACTCAGTGGTAACTGCGGGTTGCCCAGCAGGGTTCACACACGGGTTTGCTGTTAGACCTTGGTGTGTGTCTATTTGTCTACCTGCCTGCCAGTGTGCACAACAGTGTTTCCCAGATGTGTACAACTTCCACACTCTGGCTCCTGAGAACCTTGTGTACAGACTGCGGTTCATACAGACAGCCCTGTTCAGTCACCTTCAATAAAGGAAACCATGCATTCAGTGGTCCGGTTTGCTGAGGTCTTTTGTTCTGGGGCCCTCGGGTATCCCTACTCTTGCTTTCCTCTCACGCACTTCAATCTCTGTCTCTACTTGTGTAGCTGCAGAAACCAGAGCTGAACTTCATCTTAGAGTGGCTGCCGTTTTGCAGGGGTTTGACAACTGCACCCACAGCCAGAGACCTCATGGATATGCAGGAAGTAATCGGGGCCCCTGATAGAGCAGAGGACACAAGCACACCCCTCCTGTCAGCTGGACAGCAGTGTGAGGATGGAGCACCCTTGTAGACTACGGCCACAGAGAATAGCTGCCCTGGAGGATTAGCGGGGGGCTTGGCTTATGTTCAGAAATTGCTTTAACCTGAGGGACCTTCCAGCAGTCTGAAGTGAATTCACCTGTTACTGGAGGAAGGCCAGAGGCGTCCTGCAACCTCCCGACTGCCTGCTGATGGCCTCCTGATATTCACTATTCCCACGGAGACACTGAAACTTGGGCTTAGCTCCCCCCGCCCCCGCCCCACAGAGGCTCTTGGCAACAAGTAGTATTCCTTGTCTCACAGACAGAGTAGCTTGTGGGGCGGAGTGAGTACTGGCCACGCCCAAAGCTGCCCACAGAGGACCAGAAGGGTGGTGGTTGATGTATACAGGGGACTGGCCAGGGAAGAGAGTCCCAGGATGCCCAGCCTCCCTCTGGCGTGACTTACAAGTGCCAGCCAAATTTGATGTGTGCCCAATAACACTACAGAGAGGGTCTGTCTAGCTCACATTGGTTATTCCTAGCCTCTGAGGGTCAGGAGTCTCTGCCTGTCTTAAGTGAGTCCTCTGCTCAAGGCCCCACAGGGATCCCGTCGGATGTAAGCAGGGACTGTGTCTCATCTCCAGATAGAAGTATAGGAGCCACTGAAGTAGCCATGATTGCTATGTCTGTTACCTGGGAGCTGGGTGAACATAGAAAAATCTCGTCTTTTTGTTTCCTGGAAGCCACTGGCTACTCTGTCACATGGATTTGCCTGCCTAGCCAGCAAGGGATGAACTCCCAGACAGACGATGGCACAGTCTCATGTCACTCAAGTGAGGATGTGACATCCTTTACCTCATATGTTCTTTTAGAGATGCGATCAAGGCAGGAGTACACAGAGGTACAAGTAGCAGGAATTGGATACCACGGAGCCCATTAAAACTTTGTTTGCCACCTCAAGAAGGGCCATGTCATAGTACAAGACCCTTACCATCTCTTAAGCCTGTCAAGATGGATCTCTTTTAGAATACACCAAGAAGTCTGGCACTGACACCAGTGGGTGAAACAGACCCATCCTGGCTGAGCCAACCCGGCAGCCTGAACTGGTATCTCCCCTGGAGCGTGTCTGAGAGTCATGCAGGGCCCAAAGAGCAAACCCACGTATGCTGTCTTGGAGGGGAGAGCTAGGGCAGGGGCACAGTCTGCTCCTAAGTAACATGCTGCATTGCAACTCTCAAACCAGCAGGAGGACCTGGAGCACAGTGGGATGCTGCAGGGAGCAGCCACAGCCGTGGCAGAGCTTGGCTTTGTCAACCCTGGCACCTTTTGGGTCCTGAAGGGCTGTGTGAGCCATGTGTAACCACACTTCCAGATCCTCACACAATTAGCAGGAAGGCAGGCTGGGTTTAGGGCACTTTCTGCACAGATGGAGGATGCTGATACCTAAGGTGTCCTTTAGGTGGGTAAGTTCAGAGCACAGATGATGAAGCAGCAAGAGTTTGGTCCCTGCCTGGTGTGATCGTATTAGCTCTCCCTGAGCACAGAAGGAAGGAGAGAGCAGAGAAAGAGTAGGACTATGGGACTATAGGAGAGAGGGACCCCAGGCATCTATTTAGTATCCAGTTTTCTCCACACCCCAAATCATCCGTGAGCTCCATCCCTCTATAACCCTCAGGACAGCAGTGGGGCAGGAAGGCTCGAGCCTTGGTCAGAAATAAGTAAGAGGTTGGGTGCAGAGACTGCCTTCTAACTTAGAATCAGCCCAGCATCAAAGGTCAGGACTCAATGGTGTGGTCCCGGGGGCAGCAGCATAAGATGGCCCAGGAGAACCCCAAGATGCACAAAGGTCAGGACTCCATCCCAAACATGGCCCCGTGTCCTGCCTCGGCACACAGGATGAGAACTCTCACCAGGCTGCATCCAGTCCTTCCGAGTTGATGTCAAAAGCTCCAATACCGGTCTTCAGGACACCATCCACTGTTTCTGGGCAGGGTCCTGATCCCACCCCCATAATAGCCATGCAGCCCTGGCCTCATCCCAATTAGCCCCATCCCCACGTAACAGTGAGCCAGTATTCCAGCTCCTGATGATACTGCCTGGGCTCCTCAGTTGCTGCTCTTTCCCAGTCCACCCAGCCCCAGTGGCCCAACCTTTGGCCACTGTTTGTGCATAGCACGTGCATCTGCATGTCATATAAATATGCACACACACCACAGACAAGAGGGAGGGAGAGAGAGAGAGAGAACACAGAAATGTCCACTTTTGACCTGGATCGAGTCTGCAAGCCAGTGGCAGGGTTTTATTAGGGGTTGTAGCTGGACAGCACCAACATCACATCTGGGAGCGGCCCTAGCCACTCATCATAGGTAGGTCAGGGAGGAACAACCGGGTTCTGGGTCACTTATATGTAGTTGTTTTCTTTCCATGTCGCTGTGTGCCTTCCTCTGCCTTAGCCTCCTCTTCATTTAAAAGCCAGAGGCTTCATCAAGAACTCTGCCGGAAGCTGTTTGTCAGATGACAGTCTCAGGCCCCCAGTGGTGATGATGGTCTTTTGCTTTCTCAGTTTCTGAGCTTGGGTAGATGGAAGCCTGGTGGGTATCAGTGTCCACCTAGAGCTGTAGGCCAGAGTCAAAGGGATCAACCCTCAGCCCTACCAGGCGCAGTCCTGGCTCGGGACTTGTCTGTCCAGGCCCATAGCATAGTGGGAACTCCAGTCCCGTTCAAAGAGCTGCCTCAGCTGTTCCTGCACGGCGGTCGCGCCTGGCTGGGCACTAGGGGTCTTCTGGCTGACAATCAGGCCCACACCAGCGGTGCTGCTGAAGTAGTCTTCTGACCAGTTAGAGGTGCCTGGAGGAGGGGAAGACACTGATCCCTGGGTCTGTGTCCCCTGTAGTCCAGCCCACACTGTGGCCTATGCTACAGGTTAAAGGACAGCTCAGAACACTGACCACTGTGTTCCCATCAGACCCCAGGCATGGTAGCCCCACATGAAGGTGCAGTTGGTTCCTTACCAGCATTTTGGGCCCCAGGGCTCAGGACTTTACCTAGCAAGCTGGGCTAAGTGTCTGGCTGCCAGAACATTTGAGCCTATCTCTCTTGTGTGGCAAAAATTTCCCTGTCCAATCTATTTGCAGTGGGATGTCTATGATTGGACAGGAAAAAGGGAGGCGGAGCTAAGGGTGGAAGAGGGTGGCAGGCAGAGAGAAACAGAGAGGAAAAGAGAGAGAGAGACAGAGAGAGGCAGAGAGAGAGAGAGAGAGAGAGGAAGTGGCTGCAGACATGGACCTGCGTGACAGAATTCTGTGGGCATCTTGAGATTTGAGTATTTGCTGATATATAAATCCGTTGGTTAACTTTAAGCATTGTTTTGTTTTGTTTTTGTTTGTTTGTTTGTTTGTTTTTTGAGACAGGGTTTCTCTGTGTAGCCCTGGCTGTCCTGGAACTCACTCTGTAGACCAGGCTGGCCTCAAACTGTAAAATCCACCTGCCTCTGCCTCCCAAGTGCTGGGATTAAAGGTGTGCGCCACCACCGCCCAGCATCTTTAAACATTAAGAGTCTTGTTTCTACCAGGTACTGGGTATTATTGTAATAGCTACCGTGAGGATGGCGGTTATTGTCTGGGATTAAGCCAAGCACTGTGTGGGTGGCGGCGTTGGCCGCCTAGAGCCACAGAGGCCTCAGAGCTTTCGGGTGGTTGCAGCAGCCATGCTGATGTCTCTTGGCCGCCCCACCTCCCCCCCCCCCCCCCCCCCCCCACCCCCAACCCACCCCCAGGCCTGCACCACTGAGGCAGCCAGCCCATGCCAGATTCTAGTGAGGGAACACAGTGGCTGAGCTGGGAGCCAGTCTGATGCCTCTTTTCTAATACTTCCCACGACACTCTTGTCCAGCTCTCTGTCCGTGCATCTTGCTCCAGCCACTCACCTATGTAGGCCATCTTGTCTGTGACCATGAACTTGCTGTGGTTCACGCGGCTGAATGGGATGTTGGAGTGATTTCCCACAGGCACAATGAAGACTTTCTTCGGGGATTAGGAGTGAGTTAGGGTGGACAGGGTGGGAGAAGGAACTTCCTCCCCCCCCTCCAACCCATAAGGTCGGTTTCTTACCACATCCACGGAGATGCCAGCCGAGGGGTTACTGAAAGCCTGCAGGGACCTCAGATAAGCAAACATGGTGGGGTCTGTGTTGAACCAGCAGCTGACCAGTAAGCGCACATGTACGCCCTTATTGAAGGCCGCTGCCCGAAGTGCGTTGTCCAGCACGGGCCAGTACCTAGGAAGAGAGGCTCAGTGATCTGCCTGAAACCAGGATGAGTAGTGTCCTCAGCTGCAGGTACACTGTGTCCAGGACTTGTCAATCAGGAGGGTGGACTCCACCTGGACCCACCTGGCAGGGTGAGTGAAGCGCGTGGTAGGGAAGTACTCCATCACCGAGACATAGATGAACTGGCGAGCACCCTCCATCACTCCCAACACTGCGTCCAGATCCCGGGTACGGCCATGGGGACAGAGGGAGGGCGGGGAGGCCTGCAGCGGGAGAAGCCTCTCTCAGAACACTGCCACCCTTGAATCAGGCTTTTCCTAAGCTCATGACTCCATTGCCCCCTGCCTAAGAAACCCCATGTTGTGACCAAGACCATTCTCCGATGGCCAGAGGTCCTGAGGCCTGGGAAGGAGGCAGTGAAGCAGCCAGGCATCCTGGGCTCCAGGAGATTGGCCTGTTTACAGACTGTCTGGCTTGGGAAGTGGATCCACTCTCTCCAGATGGACTCTGGATATCTAGTGGGCTTTGCTCTGTCTGCTGCAGTCTCTGCTGTGGACCAGTCTCTGGGCCAACCAAGGGATTTCCCTTGTTGGAAATGGAACTGCTGGGATTGCCTATCTTCCCTCAGAGTAAAGAATAATCAATGTTCTGGGTCTCCCTACCCTTCCCTGAGCTCAGCCACAGTGTCTTGGCCCCTCAACAGTCTGGACCTCAGGTCTGCTACCTCCCAACATCTTTCTCTCTCACTGCTGGTGCCAGCCCAGGATCCTGCTCTAGTGTGAAGCCTGCCTCCTGCTGCAGGCCCAGAGCTCTCTCTCTTATGGGCTAGCCATCTTACCGAGAAGTAGGCTGTGGTAGGAACCCCATCAAAGAGACCCCGCAAGGGATGGAAGCGGTTGATGTGGGATGAGAAGTTCCGAGGCCAGGTTTTAGGGAGAACAGCTCGGGGAGTCCCTAGCACCCAGTAGGTCTGGAATGTTTTCTCAAGGTCTTGAGCCAGGTGGCTGCAGTTGTAGATGAGAACACCAAGCTCTTTCACCTGGAGGGATCAGGGTCAGTAGATAGGAGAGAGCAAAGATCTCCTGGGGTTATGTGGAAACCACCAGGGACAGAAGGCAGGGTGCAATTCCCGTTCAGAACGCAGCCACTAGGCGCCATCAGCCCCAGGGTAGACAATGCATGAAGACACAAAGGAAATAAAACCATTGTTAAATTCTGCTGAGTGGCAACTCCGGATACTATATTTATATGTACTGTTTGCACTAACAGGTGTGTGTGTGTGTGTGTGTGTGTGTGAGAGGGAGAGAGAGAGAGAGAGAGAGAGCGCACAACGCTAGGGGTGTGCTATGCTAATCGCATATCATTCTCTTGACCCACAATTCACTTCTAAAAAGTCTTAGGCTTTGTAATCTATCATCCCTCTGTGCGCATGTGTGTGCACATTCCAGCAAGCATGTTCATGTGAGTGCAGGTACATGTGCACGTGTGGAAGCCAGGAGACTACTCCAGAAGCCGTGCCTCTGGAGGTATCCATCTTGGTTTTTATTATTACTATTGTTTTAGTTTATGTGTATGACTATGTTTTGCCTACATGTTCGTCCTTGTACGCCTGGTGCCTAGAAGAGAGCATCGGATCCCCCGGAACTAGAGTTACAGTTTGTTGTGTGTTGCCATGCAGGGACCCCAAGCTCAGTCTTCTGGAAGATCAGACACTACTCTTAACCACTGAGCTATCTCTTCAGCTCCATCTTGGTTTTTTGAGCTCTCATTGGGACCTGGGGCTTGCTGATCAGGATGGGCTGGTTGGGCAGCAAGCCCCAGGGATCCTCCTCTCTGTATCTCCCCCGACGCTGGGACTACATGCATGCGCTACCACATCCAGCTTTTCACATGGATTCTAAGGATAAAACTCAGGTTCTTGTGCTTGCAAGGCAAACATGTCACTGATTGAGCTATCTCTCCAACCCTGTGAGCCATGGCCTGTGCATCTACTCAAGTTCTTACATGCTGTCCCAGGGCCTGAGTGCAGGGCCATGTAGAACCTTATAACTGGTGGGATCAATGCTGATTGATCCCTGCTATGCTGGAATGACAAAAGTGGCACGTGACCCAAGGTCCTGCTTGCTAACTTCTCACAATACCAGCTCTCTTCAGAATCAGTAGCTCTTGGAGATGGTGATGGGGAGAAGCTTCACCCCGGCCTCATCCCATCCCTGGGCCTTGGAACCCACCTGAGCCAGGGACCGCCAGTCCATGTTGGCGCTGCCCACGTAAACGTGCTGCCCATCCACAACCCAGAATTTGGAGTGTAGGACACCCCCAGTAAGTTGTTTCATGGGAATCTGTCGTATCTGGGCACCTGTGGTAGACAAACGGATAGATGGATGGATGGGCGGACAGATGGAGGGCGGGCTTTTTAATGCTGGCTTCAGGACTGCCTAATAGATCTGTCTGTGTTCATTCATTTTACCCTCAGAATGACCCCACAGATCAAGGCTGTTGCAGGTGAGGGAACCATGGAACAGGCTTCCCCAAGGCCCCTCTAGACAGCCCAGATATAATCTTGATGATGCTTTTGCCTATTGCCTTTTTCCCCGTAGCCTCTAACTCAAGGCTTTCTCTTGTGTCTTCCTACTCAGCCCTGAGCTCAAGTTCTCCAGGGTGCTGGAGAAACTTTTCCATCCAGCCCAGCAATCCTGCTAGTCTCTGGCTTTATCTCCTGGTGCCAGACCACAGCAGAGTAGAATCCCAGCATGCAGACACCCACCGTGGGCAGCCAAGACCTGGAGATCAGTGGATGTCTTGGCTAATGTTGGGCTGTGGGTGGCCACCACCACAGAGACGTTCCTGAGAAGGAGCTGTTGTAGCTTCTGTAGAAGGGCCTCTCCCTGCAAAGCCAGGCTACTGTGAGAAACTGCTGCAGGCTGGCCCTTTGCCCACAGCCCAGGGTAGGCCAGGTTTTGGCTCATGACTAGAAGCCAAATAAATGACACCATGCAGGCACTATCCTCAGTCCCTCTGTCCCTGTCCCAAGAGCTACCCAAGGAGCCTGGGTTTGCTCTAACCCAGCCCCAACCCAGAGCTGAGCCCCTGGGCCTGACTGAGCTCTGAACAGATAGCAGCCTGACTTGCTGAGTCCTTGGCATCTGGGAAGAGACCGGTTCCCCATAGTCAGAAAGCAAAAACAAGGAGCAACCTGCCGAGAAGACGAGTCATTGACTCCAATGTCCAGTCCAGTGAGGGACCAGTAGTATGAGGCGATGTGGACGCTCTCCTGAGCAGTGTCAAGAAGCTGCAGCCAAGCCTGGGCCAGGGGCTGGGCAGTGGGGCTGCCAGCTGCAAATGGCAAGTCCTCTGGGACACTTTCCACAAGGATGAGCCTAGGGACAGAACCTGAAGTGGACCAAGCTGTATCTGTAGGAGCTACTGGTCAATTCCTGCCACTCAGTCGGAGGGAGGGACTGACCCCAGGCCAAAGGGACAGAAAGAGGACAGTGGAGAAGGAAGATTTATCCCGAGCCCTCCAAAGCCAAAGTATGGTGATATTCAGGAGACTATATCGTGAGGGACCTGGGGGATGGGGCATGCTCACCCTAGAGTGGCCACAAGTTCTCTTGGGAGGAATCCAGGCTCTATCCCTGGGACAATCATAGCTTCACTGTGAGCTATGTCACCCACCTAGTTCAGTGACCCAGTGAGGCAGCACCCCGCCCAGACACACACCCCACAACCCCATGAGAATCCCTGGTGTTCACTCACTGACAGGAGTTACTCTGCTGCTCAGTGGCTCCTTTCGGGGTCTCCCAGGACCAGGAGGGCACTTCCTCAGGGAGCATGTGATGACTGGTGAAAGAAGTAGGCCCTTGCCACAGGAACAAGATGAGAGTCACAGAGCTGAATCCCAGTACAGCCAGCATCCCCAGTACCTGCAGGAGGAGACATTCCAACAGCCTTCCTAGCAGCCAAGACAGCTCTCCCTATACTATAACAGATACTATCTGGGCTCTTGGGGAAGGATTAGGGGTGAGCGGGAAGGGATGAGGGATACACAGAGCGAGGCCTGGGTGCTGGAGGTGGTCAATTGTTCTCTCCATGCAACAGTCTAGGTAGCCTTGGTCTCACGCGCACACGCACAGGCACGCACAGGCATGTGCACATACACACACCACACTGCAGGGCTAGTTTTGTACCCTCTAATCAAGCCCCAGGACCTAATCTTTGGGAAATTAAGAAAGTTTGAATGTGGTTCTGATTAGAAATTGGGTTCAGGCCGGGCGTTGGTGGCGCACACCTTTAATCCCAGCACTTGGGAGGCAGAGGCAGGCGGATTTCTGAGTTCGAGGCCAGCCTGGTCTACAGAGTGAGTTCCAAGACAGCCAGGAAAAAAAAGAAAAAAGAAATTGGATTCAAACTTGTTTTCAGAGAGCTGAGTCCCCAGCCAGCCCTCCCTTAGGATCTCCCGTTTTTACCATGCTAAGTCCGTTGTGTGGATCATGAGGTGAAGTGGAACAAGGCCAGTCAGGGACCTCCACTGCTGTCTGGAGAGGTATCAGCATCTATACAGAACAGTCTGTGTCACCAGCTACCCCAGATCCATGGTGTCCCCTCCTTAGGCAGAGTCACTCTCCAGCCTTCAGACATGGCCTCCCTTGGAACCCATGCAGGCTGAGCCCCACATCTTTCCCAAGGCTGTGTGCTGCTTGTACCCTCTGGCTCCCTCAGTATCCCCTGATGCGGGTGTCTTGAGTATGCGAGTCTCGGTTCCTTGTTCCAACCACAAGTGAAACCAGGCCTGAAAGTTCAGTTTCTGCTTGGGCCACCTCATCCATCCTTCCTTAATAGCTGTGAGCAGCTGCTTCCCTCCCCGGCGCCCCTGAGTTTGGCCCCAGGGTAGGCAGTTGGCTGCAAAGTGGGACATGGCAAAAGGGCCACCGAGAGCTGCGTCTGGAGCCCCGCACTGCTGCCAAGGCTGGGGACTGCAAGAGAGGCTACCGCTAGTTGGGATGGAGAACTCACCGTGTTCCCTCAGAGAGGTCACTCTACAAAGAGCCAGGCTAACCCCTCAGGAGGCCCTGTGCACCCCAAATGGGTCACCCAGCCCCTGGCACAGACACTGAAAAGAAGCTGAGCTCTCTCCCTCCCAGCCTGGATGCTGTCGGGAGCCTAAGGCGTTGTATGATTGTAGGTGGCTGGTTGTGGAATCCTGGGGGTTTCTTCAGCTCTGTGGGTCAGGCTATCACTCCAAGAGCAGTGGGACCAATCCCACTGTCCTCTAGGGGTTGTCTTGGACAGCGGCCTGCGGACATGTGGCTAGCCTCAGAACAGGGAATGGATTACAGGAGCCAGGCCTAGGCTGTGTCTGCCCTTGGTGGCCAGTGTTACAGGGAAGTGGGGCCTAGAAACCACAGTGAGAATATGAAAAGGAGGGCTGTGGAGGCAGAGTCACCCACAGAGGCCCAGCAACCTCTTACCAGAGTCCCTTGAAGAAAGGAGTCAGGAGGTCACTTCCACCCAGAGCTGTCATGTCCTTGGATGGATGTATCTCCCACCCTGAGCCACGGCAGGCTGCTCAGGTGACCAGAGCAACCTCGGGAGCCTAGCTTCTGTCTCTGACCAATCTTTACCATGTCCAGTGGTGCACAGACATGAGGTTCTGGGCCAGGGTTACCAGTCTGGGCTGTCCCTCAAAGAGCTGCTGGCCTACATCTCCCAGCTTCTCTGAGAGAAGTGTTCTCATCCCTTAAAACAGTTGAATTGACAGAACCGCAAGAAGGCGGCAGCTGTAATCTAGGATTTCCAAGGACCACAGACTTCTGACCTCCTTGTGACCACTGGGAACTACTCTGAGGTCAGGGGAGGAGAACCATGGAGGGCGGCTCTAAGCTGCAGACCTCTCCCATCCTTGGTCCCTGTGGGTCTTTCAAATCCTTGGGGTGGGAACTGTCTGTCTAGAGTGAAACGCTCCCTGATACTGGTATCTCGGGAGTGGGGTGAGCTGAGAGATGGGCTTTTGAGCCTCCTGAGCCTCAAGGTTCTGGGGTTCCTGCCCCATGGGCTAAGCTGTGGGCTTCAGGTATGGGACAGGAAGGACATGGCTGCCCATCGATCAAGTAAGGAGTGGTCATCTGCCAGCCAATCTGGGTGGTTTGTGGGATCTAGGGTGCTGGGAGGATGGGGCTAGGGAGGTAAACAGACAGCCCTCCTGAGGCCCCTGTCTGGCTCTAGTCCGGGTAACACTTACCTCTGGGTGCCCTTTCTTCTTGTCCATCCTGGCTCCAGCCACTGTCTGCAGGCTTTGCCTGTGCAGGCACTGCCTCCTCTCTGGCTGCTTCCCCTTCCATTCACTTCCTCTTTGTTCTAAGCACCCCACCCCCACCTCAGGACTGAGTGGGCCTCTAGAGGGCCGAGCTGAGAACTTTCACCTCTGGAGAAAAATCTACCCTGCCGGCTCCTAGAGAGGGTCCCTCAGTCATAAACCAAATGTGGAAATTAAGTTTGACTGCAAGCACCAGAGATTAAAGTAGAAGAGTCTCAAACAGTGGCTTAACTGTCCTTCGGGGGCTCGTGTTTAGAAGGCTGGTAGGGTTATTGAAATTGCATCTTGAGCTGATTGACACATTGGGCAATGACAGTCATGATGAGAGGAGGTGGAACCTGTGGAAGGTGGAGCCTGATTGGAGGATGTAGGTTTCTGGGGCGGGACTTTGCTGGCCACACCTTATGCCTGGGTTTTTTCCATCTCTCTCTGCTTCCTGTCTGTCACAGGGCAAGCTGCTTCCCTTGGCCTTGCTGCTGCCAGTATGCCTGGCATCACTAAAGGTCCCCGGCAATGGCAACAACTGACCATGGATTGAAACCCCTGAGGCTGGAAGCCAAAATAAGTCCTTCATTCTTTAAATGGTTTACTTTAAGTCTGCGTCATAATGGAGAAAAACTAACTGACCTACCACCCATACCCTGTGACCAGTTAATGGAGAGGTTATCAGTGACACAGTCACAGAAAGTCACTGCCTTCAAGCCCTGGAATACAAACCTCACAGCCCTAAAAGGGCTTCCAAGGTGCAGCCATGACCTCCATATCCCTAGCACAGAATGAAACATCCTCAGAAGACTTCTGGAGATTGAAAAGAGAACTTCCATTTTATCTATTACCTACGACTTGGTCTATGCTTGGTCACAGGGTCATACCTAGCTGCAAGGGAAGCTGGGATCTGGAGGTAGCCATGACTCACCCTGCTGAGGAACTCAGATGAGGCTGTCCCCTGGCCTGACCACAATAGTAGGCTGGATAGTGGCTCCTTGCAGGGGTTCTGTCTCCCCTCATATTCCAAGAAGGACCTTCTGAAGACCAAACCTTGTTGACTTTAGGTCAGGGTCTTGGGGAACAGCCCCAACTCTGAGGTCCAGGTTGACCTCTTTCCTCCTTGGCAGGCAGTAGACCTCAGTTTAGGGATCTGGCTTCAGAGTTTCTTCAGGGGAAGGATGCCAGCCTCACAGGGTAGGAAGCATTCCTGAGGGGCAGGGCCTGACCTCAGTAACCCATGTCCAGCATGGTGGGGCAGAAAGTGATCAGAAGAGTTCCATCCTTCACTTCCTGTGGGATAATGCCTCACTTCCTGTGGGATAATGCCTCACTTCCTGTGGGATAATGCCCTAATTTGGGATTTGGGGTTGCTCACAGATGGGTATAAGCCAATAGAAGGTCTTTATTAGACAGCCATCAACTACACGGGGTGTTCAGAATCTCAGTGTAGCCCCAAGCCTTTCTCGGGGTGAGCTTTTAAGCACAAAAATCATGTCCTGAGTTGATATTCTTTAGTTAACAAGAACAGTTAGCTAGAAATAGAACTACAGAAGCCAAAAAGCGAGGTTAGTATATTTGGAGACTTTCCCAGAACTATGCATTGTGATGGATTAGGTCTTTGTTTTAATTTTGGTGGTGTTGTCTACACGCTGAGTTTTACAGCCTGAGTGGAACTTCCATCATGGAGTCAGTTATGCTAAGGTCTCAGTGCCTACTAATGTCTTGGGCCTTATCTTAGGTTTGGCTGTCCTTTCTAGGACACAGAAGGTAGCTTCTTCAAGTGAAGTCACTGCATGCCTGAATATCACTGTGCTCCAGGTACATACCTTGAGGGAAGGGTCTTCAGGGACTTTGAATATGTAATATGAGGGGACCCAGCATCCTCTTTTACTGGTCAATTTAAACAGGGTCTTCCTCCTGCCTGAGAGCAGGGCAGGGAACTTTGAACATCCCTAATGCTCTCAACAAATATTTTTCAGGTATAGAAGGGCAAACCCTGCAGCTTCAAGGAAACCCAAGATCATCTGCCACAACTCTACTCCCCTGCTACAGCAGAGGCCAGAACTGGGCATGGTGTACAGCATCTCCTTGGGATGGATTTGTCTTGAGTATATCTAAGGGAATCATGGGACCTACAAGGGCGGGTGAACATCCCGCACAGGTCTCCTGATAACACAAAGACTGGAAGTATGGTGGCACCCTGTGGTGACCAGCTCCTCCTAAATGGCTAGACCCTGGGCCCTTGGTGGGCTGGGATGGGGAAGATGGACTTTGGAGATTTCTCGTAAAGCTGAGTATCTTTGTCTTCAATTTGTCTCCTCTTTCAAAATGTGTCTTATGGCAGGAGATGCCTCAGTGTTTGTCAGGAGGGCTAAGACGTGAGGAGCCAATGACAAGCACGTTGGATACATTTGAGTCTCCATTGTAGGACTGTAGCTAGGAGTGTCCGTATTACCGTGCCTCGGATAACCAGACTGGCTTTGATCATGGGAACCTGAAGGAGACACACCTGTCCGTGAGAACCAATGTGAGATCCACTTGGCCTCAGTCCTCTCCACACTCTGAGGCACTCAGCCGTCTTCAGCTTCACCACACAGGATCAAAACAACAGTCAGGATGCTGAACGGTTCTTGGGGTTTGTGGAACAAAGTGGTTACTTTCAGACAATAAAGACTCCTCTGGCTTATGTGCACACGTGTGTACGCACGCACGCATGCACTTTCACAGGATGGGCAATGCTGTAGGCTGATTCACATTCACACAGACATGTGAGCCATGATTTGGCCCCTGACGGAGACTGTGAAATCGCTGGGTGAGAGGAAGCTTCCAGCTCCCTGGTTATCTCAGGACCATTGTTTCGTGTGTTCTCTTCTCAACGGACACGTCTTTCACTGGGCTCTAACACCTGTGTGAGCTTCATTTCCTACGCTTTTCCTTGCTGCTTAAAATAAGAAACAGAAGTTGGGGTCTTTGTTGTTTTGTTGAGGGCAGCGTCTCACATAGCCCAGGTCGACTGCAAAACTGCCTATGTAGCTGAAAATCACCTTGAACTTCTAATCCTCCTGCCTCCACCTCCAGTGTGCTACAATAATGGACACCATCACAGCTGTTTCCCAAATGCTGGGCAAGTATACATAGCCACACCCCCAGCATCCTTAGCCACACCCCACTCTCCTCAGCCACACCCCCAGACTCAGAGCCACACCCCCAGCCTCCTTAGCCACACCCCTAGCCTCCTTAGCCACACCCCACTCTCCTCAGCCACACCCCCAGACTCCTTGATACTGTTTTTTTTTGTTGTTGTTGAAATCAATGAAATTTTTTTTAACACTTTCTTTATCTTATATGTCCAATGGTTTGGGCATTCTATAGTATTTTCCTTTTAAAATGAGTAGTTTTTATTTTTTATAAAAATGGTTTGGGACGGTTGTTTTGGTGTTGGGGGTTGTACAAAAAATATTTTATTATGAATTTTTCCTTTATCAGCATTAGAACAGATCAAAGTCTTACACTCTGGTGTCAGAAACACGTGGTTGTATCACACAAAATAGTTCACTCTGGTGTCTGTGTGGTAATAGTAACAAAATGTACACTTAGGACACAGAACAGCACTGACTGTCTGAGCCTGACCTTCCCTCTCCCATCACCACCTTCTCTCTCTTCCTGAGGTGATGGTCTAGTCTTACGTTAGACATTCTGTACACACAGGCACCCACACAGATTCAGGTGTGATGCCTCAGACACGCAGGTCTACTGTGTCTTTTTGAGGCAGGGTCTCTCGAAGGCCTGGGTCTCTTTGATTATTCTAGGCTAGCTAACCAGTGAGGCCCAGGGATCCTGTCTATGTCACCCAGCCCTGGGTTTACAATTACACGCCACTGAACTGGCTTTTTATGCAGGTTCTGTGTTAATTTCAGGTCCCCATGTTTGTGTGGCAAGCATTTTAGGAAACAAGCTATTTCCCCAAACCCCTTGTTAGACAACTTTTGTCTCTGTGACCAAATATTTGAGAAAATAGTTTAGGAGAGGAGAAGTTCTGTCGTTGGTTGAGTTTCTGGTTTCCAAGGTTCCAATCCACAGTCACTGGCTGTGTCTCTGAGTCTGTGGTGAGGCAGACACCATGGCAGAGGTGTCTCTGAGTCT